CAAGCAGGTTTCAGAGCAAACAGATCGGTAACTGACCAAATTTTTACAATGAAACAAATTTTAGCTAGCTCATATGAATTCAACCTAACAGTACACATGCTGTTTATTGATTTTAGAATGGCATATGATACTATAAAAAGAAATAAAGTATATGAAGCACTAGAATATTTTGAACTTCCACCAAAAATAGTAAGACTGACTAAATGCATACTCAATGATACTAAAAGTAAAGTCATGTTAGAAGGACGGGTTTCGGATAGTTTTATCACCAATAGAGGTCTGCGACAAGGTGATCCGTTATCAACAGATTTTTTCAATTTGATCTTAGAGAAGATTTTACGAGAATATAACATCTACACTAGAGGCACAATATATCATCACAGGCATCAATGTGTAGCATATGCAGATGATGTTACCTTAATAACAAGGAGACCTGCAAAATTAAGAGAAATCTTTATTAGAATAGAGAGAATAGCCAGAGAATATGGTTTAGAAATAAACGAAGAAAAAACAAAATATATAAAAATATATAAAACCCAAGTAAAGAATATAACTTTGAAGTTGTTAGCCAATTCGACTATTTGGGAGTGACACTAACAAATAGGAACGAAGAGAACCAAGAAATCATAAAAAGAATGGCCAAAGGTAGTAAGAGTGCTGGGAGCCTGACTAAGATACTGAGGTCGAAGATAATATCCAGAACAGCAAAAAAACGAATATATACAACAGTTATCCGACCTACAGTACTCTATGCTAGCGAAACCTGGACACTAAATAAAGATATGGAAGTAAAATTAGATAGATGGGAACGAAAAATTCTTAGAAGGATATACGGAGGCGTAAAAGAGGGGAACATCTGGCGAAGAAGAACGAATGAAGAAATAATGCAAATATATGGGCAACCAAAAATAACAAGACTCGCGAAAATTCAAAGATTAAGATGGCTCGGGCATATAGCAAGAATGAAGGAAGGAAGAGTTCCCAATGAATTAATAAACACGGAGGCTGGTACAAAAAGAAAAAGAGGCCGCCCCCGAAGAAAATGGCTGGAGTCGGCAAAAGAAGATCTGAAGTCGCTGCGGGTACAAGATTGGAAAAACTTAGCACAAGATAGAAAGAAATGGAAGAAAACCGTTGAAGCCTTGGCCTTTGAGGCCTGTTGAGCTGAACTATATATATATTATTGGGAGAGGGAAAATACCTTTCATGTTTTATGAGGTTTTATTTTAATTAGGATTTCAAGAGTACTGACCAAACTCACTTTTGCTATAATTTTTTTTTTAATACAAAGATATTTGATATAATACAATTTTGATATTGGGGGAGGGAAATAAATTTCATGCGGTTTTTTTTAAAAAAACATTATATAAGAAGTATTGAAGATTCACTTTTGAATGTAATAGATTTAATAGAATTGTGACAGATTTATCACTTTTGATATCTTTACAATATTGTAATTTGTATCTCATTTTAGTCGAAATAGTTAAATTTAAATTACTACCTTTTGTGTTAAGACTTTGGCTATGATATGGACTATCCTTGGTTTTTACTCATATTTCAAACTTCATTTGGCCAGTGGTAGTGACTATTCACTTGTTGAGGGGCTATTTGGTCCTATTGTATCTTTACACACCCACTACCACTGTTATTTAGTTTTTGCATTATATGTAAATTGTAAATACATATATATCGATATACACATTTTTATAAATATATTTATTGTTACTATTTTGAGTTTTATTTCAGTTCTACTAACCACTATATAATATAGCAAGACAAGATTAATATTTAGTATTTTTGAATTTCAGGTTATTATCTCTAGTATCATTAGTTTCAGGTCGTTTGTTACTTCAAAATCTCAACTATCGTTGAGTTGGCGCCCTTCTTTTTCTCTTAAATTTATTCCCAATGACCTTCTTTAGTTGTATCACATTTGATATTACCAGGTCTCATTTCGTTTCTTGTCTCATTAGCTCAGTATCCTTGCTATCTGTGTATATCTTTAAAGCCACAATCCAGTGCATTGAAGCTAGCCCGAACACTCACTTGAGATTTAGTGTCTCTTTGGCCATTTAAATTTGTTCCTCTGAGCTTAGCCATACTTTTAGTATTTTCATCACCTCTCTTCCAGTTCTTCTGAAATTTGGAAGTCTTACACTTCCTAAAATCCAATACTCCCGGAGAATTGAGCGTTTCAAGTTGTTTCAAATTCAACCGAAATATCCAAAAATTATCAAAATCGTGCAAAAAATTCGGAATTACAAGATGTAGATTTATCAAAAGAACACTCCAATAAAGTTGGTTTAAGATGGAATTCCGTTAGTGATTCCTTAAGCTTTGTCGTACCGGTAATTAACAAAACCGGGCCAATCACGAAAAGAAAAATTCTATCGTTGGTTGTTCAATGTTTTGATCCACTGGGATTATTGACACCATTTATCGTTAGAGGAAAGATTTTGATACAAAAGCTTTGGTTGTTAAAGTTAGATTGGGATTCAGAAATTACCGAACCGCATTTATTAAAGATATGGAAGGAGGTTTGCTCTGATTTTAGTGAATTGAAAAAAATAAGTATTCCTCGCTTAGTTTTTGTAGATAAAAATATTAGTCAAATAGAATTTCACGCATTTTGTGACGCAAGTGAGACCACATATGCGGCAGTAGTATATATGAGAACGATTTATAGCAATGAAACAGTTTCGTCGGTATTGATTACGTCAAAATCGCGAGTTGCACCTTTATCGAAAACCACGATTCCCAGGCTACAATTATGTGCAATTAGTTTAGGTACCCAATTGGTTAGTTCTCTTCTAGATATTTTTAAAAATCGTGTTTTGCTCGAAGAAAGCCATATCTGGTCGGATTCGGAGATAGCTTTATATTGGGTTAATTCCAGTTCGTCGAGATGGAATGTTTACGTTGGTAATCGGGTAGCGGCTATACAGTCAATAGGTAAGAATTTTCTTTGGCACCATGTGGTACCTGGGCACACCTTAGGTAAGAATTTCCCATCCACAGGTAAATTATATATTTCTTGAAACTGCTGTAGTATTTCAGTAATATCAGTGTGTGCAGTGTCACTTGCGGTGATATAACCATATTGTTCTAACCATGACACAGCATTTGTCTCGTTAAAATTTTCACCTAAGCAAAAACTTACGATGCCACTTGCGATCAGCAGAACAACTTTATTAGTTTGCATCTCGAATGTTACTGATTCAAATAAGAAAGCATCAGTTTGATATAAGTAAAACTTGACACTCTTTGACCTTACCAACTCAACTGATTTTATTTTTAATTTTAAAATAAATAAAACAACATTTACATATTTTTACAAGCTTTATTAAATTCTTTCAAGATCATTAGCGATCCTATGTTTACAGAAAAATATAAGTTGTTCTAACGCCACATGTTGTAAAGTGTATTCTTCACGTGTAAATGTATACAATTTTTTAATGGCGTCAACGAACGTATATTTTTTATTCTTAAAACTATCTCTTACAATATTAAGCGTATTATAACAAAAATTTGGAAATTCAATGGTCTCTAACATTGCCACATATGGCGTTAAAAGTTCGTTATTTGTTTCTAAAAGGGTGTTCACTTGCATTTCTGAGAGACAAAAGTTAATGTCATGCTTGATTATTTCGAGGAATTTGATGTTGTAGACTATTTGTCGAATTCTGCAATAGTCACCACACTGAATTTCAGTAGGATCATCAGGAAAGGTTACGTTCTTATCAAAAAAACTTCTCTTATTGAGTTGGGTAATTAATTGCTCCCATTCATATATACTGAAAGATATTTTCTGTCATGGTGTTTTCCACATAATTATAGCAGGAGTGTATGTTCTGGCTGGACTTAGACCACATCCAATTTGGTATGATTCATTTAAAAGCTGTGTGTACAGTAGGTAATGAATCTCGTTCCTGGCCGATCCTTCGTACTTCTCTAAAAGTAAAAATACCATTGATGTTTCGGATAATGGTGAAAGGGTGACATCATACTCGCTGTCGCTTGAGTATGCAGTATCTTGGGAATACATTTTTACTAGCTAACTGATTGCAACAAACTAAGAAAGAAAAGCTTGTTTGTACGTGTTTCTCCTAAATTTTTTCATACTTCTGTTCCCCCACCTTTTTAGATAACAGCGTCATTATTAATCCAACTATTATATTTTGCATCAAGGCCAAGCCATTTGACGTACATTTTGTTATTTTTACGACGTAAAACTTTTTCGACTAAGTTGTTATGGTGCACAATTATGCATGCATGCTTTTGTGTAGCACATATAAGACGTATCAACCCTGTATAAATCAACCAGCTATGATCAATGTAGCAACGTTTCGTTGTCATGCTTGTCGTACAGGTGAAGATTCCGGTCGTAACGGTTTCTATAAAATGACTGTCAGAGATGCTCGACGTAAACGTGTTAAAACAACTAATTGTAAACAATAAGGGTATTCATATGCTTTTTCTAACAACCAAGCATTCATCCAATGTTTTTTTCCACTCTTTTTTTGTTAGACATATAATCTTGACTATTGACATTCAAAGCAAACATTGATATAAACATTAATATAGATCTACTTTTTAGATGTCTAGGCAAAATCTTGAAAATATTTTTACTAGCCTGATCAGGTGTAGCGTGTGTCAAACATACCAAGCGTGTGTTAATCAACCTCTATCAACAAGTTTTGTATCTTTTTGGTGTCATAGGTGTCGTAGAGGTGTACCGTCTAGTAATAAAACCTTCTATAAAATGGCCGTTAGAGACGCACGCCGCAAACACGTTAGCACAGTGTCTTCTACAAAAAAAAACACATAAAAGGACATATTTCCAAGCATTCATACATTTATAACGATGTGTCGTTTTCTTATTTTTATTTTTTTTAATCTTTTTCATCATCTAAAATGTGCTAACTAGACAATAAAGTTGCTCTTAAACACTTCAAGACTGATGGCTGAAATAGTTACATAGATTTTTTATTGTAGAAAAAATGATAACCACACATCTACTGTACCCTGTAATCATCAAGCGCTTGAGCTCTTTTGAGGAATTGATGCCCAGCCACCCCATCAAACCGATAGTACTAGCTGTTGCTGGTTTCTATTATACAGGTGTAAATGATAAAGTCTTATGTGCTTTTTGCGGTGTTGTTTATAATAAATGCATTGCAGATGACATACCGTCAGATAAACATAAAGACGATTGTTTTTTTCTGACTGCCTATAAACAAGCTCAAAAACTGTGGACTGTCGAAGAACGTCTAAAAACTTTTACAAATAGGAATATTTCTGCTAAAAAACACGCAGAAGCTGGTTTTTTTTATGAAAATAGTAAGACTTATTATATAACGAATAAAGACATTACTTTGATGAGTGTTCGATTAGCAACATTTCACAACAACGGTACTGGTTCGCCTACTCCTCTACGTGCTTATAGTGAAATCAGACAAGTTACATGTAATTTTATACATACAGGCCCATTTAAACGAACTATAACTGCAGATCTTTGTATTATCATTGATATCTTCAAAAATGTGGAAACACAAGACAGGCGAGGTAAACAGAGAGGCGAATCAACGTATTATATGTAAAATTTGTTTATGTAGGGAAACTAACACAGTCGCACTACCTTGTGAGCATGCCACATCTTGTCTAGATTGTTCTCGTTTACTTAACAACATCTGTTGTCTATGTAGAACACCCGTAGAATGCACACCAAGACTTTATATATAATATATCTAATGTTGACTCATTGTTATGTAATGATTTATTGTTAGTATTCGCTAACCTGTGTATCATGTAAGATCTTCGCAGGACTATGCCCTTCCCGTAGCGTTCACGACATGACTTTATATTTAATGTTATACAACCGTATTGTTTGTATTTTTTCTGTTTTATACATGTTCCAATGCGGCTTATTAGTCCTTTGTAGTATTTATATTGCTACAAAAAACAGACACCTAAATCGGTAAAAGAATCTTTTGTTTTTGTTCTAGTAACATGGGTTGTACTGTAACACTTTTAAATCGCCGATATGTACGAAAGTTTGACGCGTATTTACATACATACTCTTGCACCACACCACGCACAAACAATGCTACAGAGGACTTGCTCACTACATTAAATAGTTGTTTAGAAGATGTAAAAATAAAATCATACTATGTAATAGGTGATAAAATTAGAATTATTGCTAGTAACCCGCGCTTTAATCAACCACTTTCAACACCAGCGCATACTTCTACTACATTTGCCTGTTTATTAGATCTAGTGGAAGATGTCTTGACATCTGACGAGTCTGTCTCTATTAACGAAACAACGTTTGACATACAAGTACTTAAATTACCTAGAGGCTATGGACGGTCCAGTATCTTAAATTTATCGAGAAACCGTCACACCAAGCGTAGTATAACTGTGATACGTAACAGTGATAATTTGTGTGCCTTAAGAGCCGTAGTCGTTGCTCTAACATACCATACGACATCCTTCCTAAAATACACTTTTACATCTAGACAAATTGCAAACATACGCCAAGGTCGCCAACTTCAAGGAGTGCTAGCTGGTGAACTATGTGAAATTTTGGGATTAGATCCCACAATTGGTTGTTCTCTGCAGGATATTCAGAGAGCTGAACAATTGCTTGATGTACAAATTAAAACTGTTTGTGCACAGAACTTTAATTCAGTTATTTATGCAGGACCACCCAAACAAACAATATTATGCTTGTATAAAAAGACCATTATGATGTCATTAATAGTATGGCCGCTTTTTATGGGACTGTTTATTATTGTCAAAGATGTGACACTTGTTACAGAAACAAAAATAAACATCGATGTAAAAAGTCTGTAATATGTGACATGTGTAACAGCCCCGCACATAAAGAACAAAACAAAATTTATTGCGACAACTGTAATAGGTACTGTTTTAATGAGAAGTGCAGGCAGAACCATGGGCCCGTGTGTGCACTTGTACATAAATGTACAGGTTGTATCAAAGTGATACAGAGGAATAAATGGCATCACTGCGGGTTTAGCGTATGTACGAACTGTAACCTGTGGGTGGAAATCGCTACACATAAGTGCTACATGCAGAAAAAGACAACCAAAGGAGGTATTTGTCCTGTACCATGCACCTGCAACAAACGTTCTGACAACTTAAACAGAGGTTGCAAAGCAAATTACAAGCAACCAATTACCTGTACCGTACCGTGCGTCTGTAACGGTCTTACAGACGTTGTTGTAAGTACATGTACTTATACAGAAAAATACCTATTTTTTGACTACGAAACAATGCTTGTTGATGGAATACATACTTTAATAATAGCACATGATTTCGATGGAAATAAATTTGTTTTTAAAGATAACAACGAGTTTTGTCAATGGTTAATTTCTGAGAATCACAGCTCATATACAGCGATCGCACACACCGCTAAGGGTTACGACTCGTATTTTATCTTGAAGTACTGCGTATGTAATACCATAAAACCCTATACTATTTACAGCGGATCAAAACTGATGCTGTTAACAATACACCACCTTGCTTTAAAAATTATAGATAGCTCTAATTTTGTGAGTGGACCATTAGCGGATTTCCCTAAAACTTTTGGGTTGACTGAGTTTAAAAAGGGATATTTCCCACATTATTTTAACAAGACAGAACACCATTCGTACATTGGTCAACTCCCTGATACCTCTTATTACGGTCCAAATACCATGAAACCCAAGCAAAGAGAAATCTTTTTACAATGGCATGCTGATAAAGTGTCTGAGAACTACATCTTTGATTTCCAAAAGGAAATTCATGCATACTGTGACTCTGATGTTGTTATTTTGCGCCGTGATTGTTTAGAGTTTCGTAAAGAATTTTTAGCTGTAGCTAATATTGATTGTTTTCGGTACGTTACAATAGCTAGCACATGTTTGGCCATTTACCGATCAAAATATTTACCCCAAAATCAAATAGCCGTTGTTGAAAAAACAGATATATACAGCTCTGCAGCCATTTCGTGGCTATCGCAGTTTCCTGATTTACAACACACCCTCAACGGTGGTGAAGTGACAATTTGCGGTGCTAAAGTAGATGGCTGTGACTGCTCCACAAATACTGTGTACCAGTACCACGGCTGCTTCTGGCATGGCCACCCAGATTGCTTTAAGAACGACACAATAAACCATGTAAATAATGAAACTATGGGTGATTTGTACGAGAAAACAATGAGACGCTCGAATCAATTACGAGACGCCGGTTACAACCTAGTAGAAATGTGGGAATGTGAATGGATAAAACAATGTAAAAATATGCCTCAAATTGTTGAACCCTTAAACCCCCGTAATGCTTTTTACGGCGGTCGAACAAATGCTACAAAATTAATGGTATATGGTAAAAAACTTCGGTATATCGATGTAGTATCTTTGTATCCAACCGTCCAATACTATGATGCTTATCCCGTGGGACACCCTATTAAGATATACAAACCTGATGCTTATGATTCTTCGTGGTTTGGTCTTGTTCAGTGCACTATTCTTCCTTCTAGACAACTGTATCATCCTGTATTACCGCTAAGGACAACAAAGCTATTGTTTGCAAACAATGCATAGAAGACATGCCTGATACGTGTCTTCATACATAGCGTTGCTTTGTGCCCTCCAAAAATAAATTCTGGCAGGACCCTGGTCTACCTGGCCTTTCGGCATACGACCGTTAGCGCATGCCACTGCCCCTACGAGTCCGACACCAAATGGAGGTGGCACGATGTTTACACACCGTGGGGCTCCACCTCCCCCGTAGTACCTGTGTTGCGGGTCACGCCACCCTTCCGTGAGTCCTCCCCCCGGAGGCGGAAAGGCACGCAGGTGGTGGAATACCACCTCGCACGTAGACAGGTCGCCGCCGAGGAATCGCTCCTCTACCACTCGTTAGATCATTCCGAGGTGTGGTTACGCGCTGGGTCACCCGTTCCCCTTCCGCGGTGTCAGCTTCTGGGGAACCTCCGTACCTGGCTCGTTTAACCACACCCGGCTCTTGTGGAAAATGAGAGTAGAGTGGTCCCACGAGGCGCTCGTCTCGGATACTAGGAATGTAGACCGGTGACTGAGATGACTAAGCATCTCTGTGCGTTTCTACCAACCCGACACCTCAAACGACGGCCCTCCACCTCTCATATCCGCCCATTAGTCGCCTCTTACGACAGGCAGGGTCTTCTGGCCCCGGTCGTATTCTTATCTCCTCGACCGGAAGGAGCGTGTCTTCATACAGAGGCTCAGAGAGTGTTTTCGGGTACATGGACATCGTTGGAGATTCAGAAAGCTTTGGAAAAAGGGTATAAAATCATCAATATTAGCGAGGTGTGGCATTTCGAGAAAACGTCTAGGGATCTGTTTAAAGGATATGTGAAGGAATTTATGAAAATAAAATTAGAAAGTAGTCCACATACGTATGCCTCATGCGAAGAATACGCTCGGGCTGTAAAAGAACAAATGGGTATAGAGCTCGATTTAGCGAAAATAGCACCAAATCCAGGTAGAAGAGCTGTCGCTAAAATCTGCTTAAATAGTCTATGGGGTAAATTCGGTCAGCGATTGAATCTGTCACAGACTGAATATATCACTAACTGCAAACGATGGTATGAGATTCTGTTGGACGACACAATAGATATTACTAACTGCCTATTTTATAACGACATTGTACAAGCAACATTTTGTGTGAAAGAGCAGTTTGTGGAAAAATCTAAAGATACAAATATATTTATTGCAGCGTTCACAACGTCCAATGCTCGCTTACGGTTGTACAACATGCTTGATAAACTGGGTGAAGCTGTAGCTTATTTCGACACAGACTCAATTGTTTACACTGATGATGGTGTTAACACGGTCAAAACGGGTGACATGTTGGGTGACTGGTCTGACGAATTACCTACTGATGACTACATCACAGAATTTTTGTCAACAGGTCCTAAATCTTACCATTATAAAACTATGCTAGGCCGTCAAGTGACTAAAATTAAAGGGTTTACACTCAACTATGAAAATTCTTTATATTTAAATCAAAATGTTATGGTTGATATAATTACAACCAAACTAGAAGATACTGTTTTATATTATGATCAAATATGTAGAGACGTACATACAAAAAATATTGTAACTAAAGAGAGAGTTTCAAAAACATACCGCATGGACTATAACAAACGTAGAGTGCTACCCAAAAATAATAAAATAATAGACACGCTACCCTGGGGTTTCTAATAACATTCTGATTTTATCACCTAGTCTTTTGTATGTATACGCATCATACTTAGTTATCTCTCTTTGTTATTGTAGATAATGGCTTTGTGGTCGACAACAGCTACGTGTGTGAGGTGTGCACCCCTGTACACAGCTGTTGTTGATGAAAATTGGGATGATGAATGGCATGAATCTCCACTACACCACATCAGACGTAGATACTTGTATCTACACTTAGGTGATGACACCCAGGGCGGCAGTGGAGGTTCAGGTGACGACACCCAGGGCGGCAGTGGAGATTTAGGTGACGACACCCAGGGCTGCAGAGGAGATTCGTGCCATCCCGAGCCTGATGAAAATTGGGACGATGAATGGCATGTGTCACCTTTGCCATTCATTAAAGTCGGTGCATTATTTAAAAACATTATTCGGGAACCGCCGCCGAAAATGTCGAAGGCGCAGAAGAAGCCCTTTCGCATGGCTGAGCGTGAACGCCACAAATTACGGTTTCTAAATAATGCATCGACTTAACAAGGTTGTGTATATAGGTTGTATATATATATATACATATATATATATATATATATATATATATATATATATATATATATATATATATATATATATATATATAGTTATACGTTAATTTTAGTTTTGACGTAGTTTAGTAGTTTTAGGATTTAAAGTTAATTGTGTATTTTTTGTTTCTAAATATAGTTATTTGGTACGTGAAGTAGTCTTTCATTCAAGGTAAACCCTTTTGTAGCTTCCACCAATGCGTTAATACGACGTTTTGACATCTCGATACACACGACATTTTTACATTATAACCTTAACTCTTAAGTTAATTCTTGTTTGTACTTAGCACTCTCATTTTAGAACACAGAGCTATGTCTGATGATTATTGTATTGACGACTACGAGTTATTGGTGGATGATTTAGAGATATTAAAATTGGACCAACAACTAGAAAATAGCATATTACGGGAGTTGCTAATATGTACTGAAACATGTAATATTGTATTTTGTTGTAGCTGTAACAACTATATTCTGGGTACTACCAAGCCCGTTTCCTGTTTTTGTATTAGTTGTAATGAAATAAAAATATTTGAACCTTAATCACGTTGTTTATATACATACCTACCATCAGACTTTATATATAAAGGCTAAGAGCACCTTTGTGTTTTATTTACAGACAGTCACACTTGTGTTTCAGGACACCATGAATGGTCCTTGGTTGCTACATACCCTGCATACACGTCATGTTAAAAAGTTTAATACCTACATTACCACTTATCAACTTCAAAATGTTAAAGAAGGTGGTGGGTTAAAAGATGTACATGACTCTTTGCAAACCACCTTGAGCGATGCTTTACACAATGCCAAAAAGCTGGCTAATTATAAACCTGGTGACAAAATACGTATAGTGGCTTTTAATGATAATTTAACACGCCGGTATTGTAGCGTTTACGCTACTGATTAACCCCTTAAGAAATTTTTATTACCCGCCTACGATCGATTTTAAATCGACATTTTTCCCCACACGCGCAGTAGTCGCTTAAAAAGGAAGATTGATCGATTTTGTGCGGAAGCGAAGCGGTCAGTTTTGGTCAGAACTCATACGCAGCCACGTCAACCGGTGAAATTTTTCACCTTCAAAGTGACGGAATTGGAGCAGTGAAATAATTTGGGGAAGAATAAATTAATTCATATATAAAATAGATATATTCATAATAAGTAAATTTTAAAAATCAATATTTATAAGAGTTCCACATAAAAGGAAGATTTTTTTGGCGTGCTGCGGCTCCATGTAAGTAAATCATTTTATACGTATTATCTCTTTATCATACAATCAAATTTATCATTGTATTTAGTATTTCTTTAGAGATTTATTTTTGAGTTCCGAAATAATTTAAATATAAAATTTCCTTGATTTACTTGCAAAGAACAGAAGGTCATTTTTTTATATAGTTAAACTTAAATTCTGTTTTAGTCCATGTCGTTATCATTAAGTTTTTTTGGTTCCCATTTTTGTATCTAGCTTTTTTTGGTGGAATATAAAGAGGTTCGACAAATATTGGACAGCCTTCTATATTCTGCGCATGTTCTTTTCATGGCGCAAGCCTGTCATGTCTACGAAATGAACAATGAACTTCGGAAATTTTGACATGTTGACATAACCTAATGTTTGGATGTTTTGGTGCAGTCAATCCATGCTGCTACACATATTAAATTACATTTATTAAATTAAATAATCATTTTAGACTCCGTCACGTGAAAATATTAATTTAAGTTCATTGAAATAACTTTGAATCCTTAAAATAATTAGCAACTTGTCTCTGGAGTTACCGATTTCTCGGACCGGATAGACCAGCGCCGGGTGTTTACTACCGTGTACCCCCATGGATTTGTTATCATAGCCCAGAACTAATTTTGCCGTGCCAAGAGTTTTCCTATGGACTTGTAGTGATTTTAAGATAAGTTGTTTAATTGTTTAATTTTTGTTACTTCCTATTTAGTAGTATACCCTCTTCATGTGCATATGATAAGGTGAATACCTTTATGATAATTTAATTTTGATATAATCTAATTCTAAAATATTGGGGAGAAGAAAATACATTACATGTTTTTATTGGGTTTTTAAATAGGATATACAGAGTCTGACCGAACTCACTTTTTTTTGATATAATATTTTTGTTAATATAATACAATTTGATATTGAGGGAGGGACATAAATTTAATGTGGTTTTTTTTAAATATATATAATGAGTATTGAGAACTCACTTTTGAGATAATATAATTGTAACAGAGTTATCTGTACAATACGGTAATTATTTCTCATTTTAGTAGAACTATTAAAATCTAAAATACTAACCTTAGTGTTAAGACTTAGGCTACCCTACGGACTATTCTTGGTTTATACTAATATTTCATATTTTATTTGGCCAGTGGTAGTGACTATTCGTTTGTTGAGGGGCTATTAGGTCCCATTGTATCTGTACACCATCCACTACCACTGTTATTTGGCTTTGCATTATATGTAAATTGTTTATACACATATACCTATATACATTTTTTATAAATATATTTATTGTTGCTATTTTGAGTTTTATTTCAGTTCTACTAACCAGTATATAACATAGCAAAACAAGATTATTATTTAGTATTTTTGTATTTCAGAGTATTATCTCCAGATTCATTTGTTACTTCAAAATCTCAACTATCGTTGAGTTGGCGCCCTTCTTTTCTCTTCTTATTGTTCTCTTTCTATAAATTTATTCCCAGTGACTTTCTTCAGTTGTATCACGTTTGATATTACCAGGTCTCATTTCTTTCTTGTCTCATTAGCTCATTATCTCTTGTTATTGTTCTTTATATCTTTAAAGCCACAATCCAGTGCATTGAAGCTAGCCCGAACACTCACTTGAGATTTAGTGTCTCTTTGGCCATTTAAATTTGTTCCTCTGAGCTTAGCCCTATTTTTAGTATTTTTTTTTCATCACTTCTCTTTCAGTTCTTCTGAAATTTGGAAGTTCTACACTTCCTAAAATCCAATACTCCCAGAGTATTGAGGTCCAGACACAACTATGTCCAGAGTAGATAAGGAGCCACTAGCCCCCACTAGCCACTAGCCCCCACTGTGACCGTGACCCGCCGTCACCGCAGCCTCGAATATTGTAGGGTAGTAAACCCACTCGTGCGGGGAAGCGTCCGGTGTGTGGTGAAGCATGGGTGCGGTGAAGCGTCCGGGGTGTGGCGGGAGGATTGAAGCGAGGGGGTGTGGCGTTGTGACGGGTCGTGAAGCGAGGGTGTTATGAATAGAGGTAACGAATAGGCTAATACAAAACATAGATAGGTTGAAAGGGACGAGGGCGAAGAAAGCACAGATAAATGTAATGGGTTAGAGAGACCGTTGAAAGGGGAACAGAAATGTGGAAGTGGGGAAGAAAACACAGAAAATGTAGAGTAAGAAAACACAGAACATGTATGAAGGTTGTACGATGCATCAAAATGAAAGAAAAGGGGGTAACGAGTATGATAATGAGATGAAAAAAAAAACAAACGCAAAGTTGGTGGTTCATTTTTAAACTACGAAGCGAAATTGGATGAAGTATATCGTATCTCCGTTGTTAGTGGTCCGATGTGTAAGGTATCGATGGGGAGGGTGGTAACGAATAGGTTAATACAAAACATAGATAGGTGGAAAGGGACGAGGGCGAAGAGAGCACAAATAAATGTAATGGGTTAGAGAGGCCATTCAAAGAGGAACAGAAATGTGGAAGTGGGGAAGAAAACACAGAAAATGTATGGGTAGAAGAGCAAATGTATGGGGAAGAAAACACAGAAAATGTATGGTGGAAGAAAACACAGAAAATGTATGGTGGAAGAAAACACAGAAAATGTATGGGGAGAAGGGAAAATGTATGGGAAAGCGGGGGAAGGTGTTGTATGGCTGAAAATAGTGAACAGGTGAAAAAGCGACACACTTAAGCTGTAAAAAATAAAACAAAACACAGGTACTAAATAAATTTTTATTGTGAGAATATAGTTATTAAATAATTTAGTGTAACAATAAATGTACATAGGCTGGTACTCCTTAGTTACTCCTCGGTAAGTTACGCCTCGGTTGGTTGTACCTGTAACAACGTGTTTTATTTTAGTCTAATTGCTTAAATAATTAACAAAACACACAAAAAATATAAGTTTTTTAAATTCGGAAAAATTTTGTAAAATCGATAACTCGGTGTAGAAAAGGCAGAAAAGATCGGGGTACCAAGCAAACAGCTCACAATTATGTGTAGAAGTAAATAAAATGACAAACTAAAAATCGAAAACAAAAAAAAATTCTGTGTTAAGTAAAAACTTACCGTACGCCGCCCACACGGGCAACAGCAAACTGTAACTACAATTCCTAAGGTAATTGTTACCAAAACGACAACAATTACAACGAATAAGCCCCAAAGGACCGCGTCTTCACTTCCATTCGAGGAGTGACAAGGTATGGTTTTGGTGAATATCATTATGGTTGTGTATTGATAAAATGAATTTTAGCAAAATGCATATCAAATGCATAAGATCGATTTACGTAATTAAAACCGAATAACGGATGCTGTGACATCCGTTTTAGGTAAAAATTAGTAACTGTGTTACTAAAATAGACACAATGTATGTAATATCTACCACTATTTGTTGGTAAATTATAGAATATGCAAAAAAAACCCTTGACGTAAATCTTAGATATGTGCGTAAGTAAACAATTTCTATAAAAGACAAAAGTGCAGTTCTTTAGCGTCAGTGTTTCACCCCGTTTACTAAGTACTAGTGTTTGTTTGTGTATCAACCTTTTTGGTAAATTAGTACTAATTAGTATGTGTATTTTGTCTGATTTTTGTATAGTGCATTGTGGTCATTTCTGCTTTTCCTACAAAGCATAACCAAGTTCTACATATTCCATATTTTTATGTATTTTTTATAAAAGATTGTATAAAAAAATAATAAATAATTGTGTTTTATAATACAGACAGTGAAGAACCATCAGCCACAGCTACCTATATTTTCCTGTCATGTCTACACCAATTAAGACACAGTACGTTGTAGCTTATTTTTCTATGATTTATAACAATTTCTGTCGTTATATGTTGTATGTATAGTTTATTAAGATTTATAAAAAACTTTAAATAATTTTTCTTTTAATACAGGTTAGAAGCAGAGTCACATCGACGCCGCTCAACGCCCAGCGACAACAGCCTGCCTGCTCAGCAACTAGTCAGCGAAACAGCCCCAGCCGTAACAGTCAACGCCCCAGCGAAACAACCAACGCTAACAGTCAACACCCAGCGAAAACAGCCTGCCTGCTCAGCACCTAGCCAGCGAAACAGCAAAGCCGTAACAGTCAACGCCCCTGTGAAACAGCCAACGCTAACAGTCAACACCCAGCGAAAACAGCCTGCCTGCTCAGCACCTAGCCAGCGAAACAGCAAAGCCGTAACAGTCAACGCCCCTGTGAAACAGCCAACGCTAACAGTCAACACCCAGCGAAAACAGCCTGCCTGCTCAGTACCTAGCCAGCGAAACAGCAAAGCCGTAACAGTCAACGCCCCTGTGAAACAGACAACGCTAACAGTCAACACCCAGCGAAAACAGCCTGCCTGCTCAGCACCTAGCCAGCGAAACAGCAAAGCCGTAACAGTCACACCCCAGCGAAACAGCCAACCTGCTCAGCACCTAGCCAGCGAAACAGCAAAGCCGTAACAGTCAACGCCCCTGTGAAACAGCCAACGCTAACAGTCAACACCCAGCGAAAACAGCCTGCCTGCTCAGCACCTAGCCAGCGAAACAGCAAAGCCGTAACAGTCACACCCCAGCGAAACAGCCAACCTGCTCAGCACCTAGCCAGCGAAACAGCAAAGCCGTAACAGTCAACGCCCCTGTGAAACAGCCAACGCTAACAGTCAACACCCAGCGAAAACAGCCTGCCTGCTCAGTACCTAGCCAGCGAAACAGCAAAGCCGTAACAGTCAACGCCCCTGTGAAACAGTCAACGCTAACAGTCAACACCCAGCGAAAACAGCCTGCCTGCTCAGCACCTAGCCAGCGAAACAGCAAAGCCGTAACAGTCAACGCCCCTGTGAAACAGACAACGCTAACAGTCAACACCCAGCGAAAACAGCCTGCCTGCTCAGTACCTAGCCAGCGAAACAGCAAAGCCGTAACAGTCAACGCCCCTGTGAAACAGCCAACGCTAACAGTCAACACCCAGCGAAAACAGCCTGCCTGCTCAGCACCTAGCCAGCGAAACAGCAAAGCCGTAACAGTCAACGCCCCTGTGAAACAGCCAACACTAACAGTCAACACCCAGCGAAAACAGCCTGCCTGCTCAGTACCTAGCCAGCGAAACAGCAATGCCGTAACAGTCAACGCCCCTGTGAAACAGCCAACGCTAACAGTCAACACCCAGCGAAAACAGCCTGCCTGCTCAGCACCTAGCCAGCGAAACAGCAAAGCCGTAACAGTCAACGCCCCTGTGAAACAGACAACGCTAACAGTCAACACCCAGCGAAAACAGCCTGCCTGCTCAGCACCTAGCCAGCGAAACAGCAAAGCCGTAACAGTCACACCCCAGCGAAACAGCCAAACTGCTCAGCACCTAGCCAGCGAAACAGCAAAGCCGTAACAGTCACACCCCAGCGAAACAGCCAACCTACTCAGCACCTTCATCCGGAAAAAGCCAGAACCGAACAGAGTAAGTTATAATTAATTATTATGTGTATTTGTTCTGTTTGTTGTATATTCCTTCGTTTCATTTCCGTATTTGCTCAGTATGCTATGCTATTAGATTGTACTAAATATCTGTTAATGTTGTATAACGTTCGCCATTGTTTAGAACCACCGTCTAGTTTTTTAGCTTTGGTCAGCTCTTCCAGGCGTTGATCTTGTTCCTTCGTACCGATGTCTGCGAAGCAGTTAACATACACCATTTCTTCATTGTTCGTTGGGCACTATACTTCATCTAATTTAGATAACGACTTACGTCATTATCTACGTCAGAGATCGAAGTTGACATAGTTGCCAAAGTATAAAATAATCCTGACTCCATTTTAAATCAAATAGGTCACATAATTATTGCAAAAGTATTACCATCTCTTTACAATGACTATTTAAATTCGTACGTGCCATTTTTCAAATAAAACACACTAATTTTGTTCTAAAAAGAACAGATTTTATTAAATCGGTAAAAATATAAAACAAGAGGTATTCACTTTAAAATTCAAAATAATAAAGTACAAAAAGTGTCAACACCGCAACTGTCAAATAAGTATTACCAATTTATGCCAAAATTTTACCTTCGTTCGATTACAGTTACAGTGTGTTCTGAACAAATGTTCTTGATAAAAACTCTTTATAATGGATTTATACAAATTAAATGAAACATATTATTGTGTATTTCTTTAAGTTAACATTAATAAAAAATTTTAAATATTATTTCTACGCGTACATAATAAAATATGTCTAGTGACTGTAATGCCAGTGTACTCGGTAAAGTGATTCTAAAAAGAACACACCTAAACCCTAAATATTTCGTGTTGGTATCACATGACGTCACAGGCTATGACGCCGATGACGTGCATCGTTATATAAATTAGATGAAGTGTATGTTTTCTATATGCAGACGTCTCAAAATCTGTCAGAACCCCCCTCTTGTCCCTATAAAGCAACGTGTACTCGTACTTTTCCAGCAGCCTTATTTCAAGCCCCCTTTTTGTTTGGGGACCTACTTTATATGTAATGTTGTTACATATTTAAAAAAAAAAGTTCTTTTCCTGTATCAATGTATTAATGCCCTTTTATTTGACGTAATATATTTCATGTTTTTTTTTTGTTTTATATGTACATATTATTGTTGAATAACAAGTGGTGCCTGGGTTTATCGTAGGATATTTCTTTTTTTTTAGATGGAATCTTTAATAATTCTGAAAAAAGAAGTTCGTGTATATGTGTGTATATTTTGCAATCGACCATCTACGAAAAAACACGTGAAACGTCATTTGACATGTACAACTTGTGGTCAAATTTACAAATTGCTTAGCAGACGTCTTAATCACAAATGTAAAAAATCTCACATTTTGTAACTCAGCCTCTCTATTGATACAATTCATAATAAATATTAGCCTTCTAACTAACACATAAAGCAATGCGTACCTTTACCCATGGTGACATCCAATTCATGGCTGTGGCCACTGCTATTTCAAGGTATTCTACAAAAAATATATATTTAGGGCATATTTTTTTGTGGTTTCGATAGTATATCTATTTCGGTGATAACAGTAAAGCATTTAATGGCAGGTATTTTTATAATAATGAACTTTTCTTTTTTTCGTATTCTGTTTCACATCTGTTATATAACTAATTTTATATCAGTTATATGTCTATTTATATGTCTATGTATTTGGTAGCATTACGTTCAGTGTACATGGCTCTCTTAATTTCTGTGTTGTACGCCGTTTATATAACTATGTTCTATAGATCTATTTATATGTCTGTTTCTTTGAGAGCGCTACGTTCACTGTACATGGCTCTTTTAATTGTCTGTTGTAAGCCTCTTACAGGGCTATTGCTGTGATGGTACTACGTCCTGTGTACATGGTTCTTATAATGTTCTATGGATATTTGTCGCTGTAAAGAAGCGGTGGCCTCACTGTGTTTCTTTGTGCTAACGAACTGTCCACTATTTATCTAGGTTCTTTTTGTGCGCTACTTGTCGCGCTATGTATGATGCGGTATGTAGAAAAAAAAGTACGCTACATAAATTCAATAATATTTTATTAGTTACAAATTAAATATATATATATATATATATATATATATATATATATATATATATATATATAAAGCACAGAACTGTAGTATACCCATTCGAAGACCGTACGACTTATCTGTTAGTGAGAGAAGATGAACGTAAATTCTGAAGTTTCATGGTCTGAAATTTCTTGTTTGCGTGAAGTATGTGCCTGTTATTACTCAATAATATCTAGGTACTTCAGTTCGTCTATGATTTCAGCTGCTTCTTTCCCCATTAAAGCGTCGGCTTCTGAAAGAATTTTAAGGCCTTCTACAAGCATGTTTGGGTCATGATGTTCTTTATAGAGGGACCATAACTCTTCCAATTGGACAAATATCTGTTTGTTTGCTATATTACGAATCCTTGTTTTAACAGCTCTTGTGGTAAAATCAACATGATTTTTCTTTGAACTTGACATGTCTTCTGTATCGTGAGCCTTCTGTGATATATGTCTTCTTTTACATTGTTGTTGTTGTTGTGTGTGTGTTGTATCTTCTACGTGGGTATGTAGTTCGACATTTTTTGCGGTACCGTGTAAGGTCTGTGGTGTTCTGTTTTTATTACCCAAATACATCGGCTTAATAATTTTTTCATATTTTATGGTGTGAGATTGATGACGTAATCGACCTCGCCCATCTTTATGTGCGTCGGATATGTCTAGAAGAGCTTTGTAGATTGTTTGATCGGCTAGTGTATATTGTGTAGGTTCTTTCGAGAAGATCAGGTCGTACAGGCCAGGTGTAGCTGTAAAAATGTGTGAATCCATTTTAATGCTATCTTTACGGAACTCAATTGTTTTATTTCCAAACGACCATTCTTCAGTAGACCAATTAACATGTGGACCGTATATCTGGTCTACATTCCCTAAATCTTGCGTATATTTTTCTAAATAAGGGTTGTACGATATTTGCGTATGTAGAGGTTCGATGTCATCACTGACCTGTGATGGCGGATGAGTTTGTGAATCATCTTCGTTGGGGTCTGGTTTAGGGACATTCACATATTTGGCTATTTCTTTAAGAGGTGCAGTTATTGGCTTAAACGTTGTCTGTAGAAGTTCGTTGTCATCAGCTTGCATTCTTCTAAGAGCTTTATACTTTTCTCTCACAATTGCAGCAAGTTTCTTTACTTGAACCGCTCTGTTTGGAGACATGTTACCAAATGAATTCTTGACTTTGAGTCCTTATTTATATACATCTGCACCCTTCTGTTAACATGTCTCTGATGACGTTTGTGTGTGTGTGTGCTACCCTCTGTGTGTCTCTGCTACCCTCTGTGTGTCTCTGCTAACCTCTGTGTGTCTCTGCTACCCTCTGTGTGTCTCTGCTACCCTCTGTGTGTCTCTGCTACCCTCTGTGTGTCTCTGCTACCCTCTGTGTGTCTCTGCTCCCCTTTGTGTGTCTCTGCTACCCTCTGTGTGTCTCTGCTACCCTCTGTGTGTCTCTGCTACCCTCTGTCAGAATGTCTCTGATGATGTCTGTAATCCGTCAGGTACTCCGCAGTGATCGTCTGTACCGTCTGATATCGTGTCTCTGATGACGTCTGTACTCCTTCAGGTACTCCTGTGTGATCATCTTTTACTCTCTCTCTCTCTCTCTCAGGCTCCCGGGCGTCTCCTTTTCTCTGTTATATTACTCTATTATATTGTGTTGTAAGTCTCGCGTTTGGCCTCTAAAATTGTTTGTGCTTTTAGTAAAACGCAGACGATGGTGGATTCACGTACATTAAAGACAACCATTTATAATCTACAAAATATTTTACAAGAGAAGAAGCTAGCTTTCGAATATGAAGCTGAACGTGCTTGGGTACGAACTAGAAATTACACAGGAGAGGAGTGTATAAAAGAAGCTGAAAAGTACCGGCAAGGTGTTAGCGTTTGCAAAGATTTTATTGATGGCGTAATATGTAGTGGTTGCTTACTAAATGCTTTAAAAGAGCTGGATCTACACGGTTTTATTTAATATCTACCCTAAATACCACCCGTGTTCATTTGTATAAGCTCTTTTTACCCATTGACCTTTTGACGTTTTAGACAATTTCCAAAATTCGTTGTAACCCTTGAAAAAACACGGCTAGTAAAAAACATCCGTATAAAATAGATATTGTTTTTTTAGATGAGTAGACGTAACATGGTGAGTCAATTTGTATGTCTGATCAAGTGCGACACATGTCAGGCATATCAACCATGTCTTAATCAACCCCTCACCAACAACCGCGCGTCATATCGATGCCATACCTGTCGCACTGGCGAGGAGAACTGCCATGGTGGTTATTTTAAAAGAACTGTCAGAGACGCGAGGCGAAAAAATGTGAAACATAATACCAAATCTTCATAGTAACAGTGGTTTTTCGTTATTTTAGAACAAATGCCATCAACACATCTGATCTATCCACTAATCAGCCTACGCCTAAAATCATTTGATGAGTGGCCACCAGCACATCCCGTAAAACCAATAATATTAGCAGTTGCAGGCTTTTTCTATACAGGCCTAAACGATAAAGTCTTGTGTGCTCACTGCGGTATCGTTGCAAATAAATGGTCAGTTAATGATACGCCCTTGAGGAAGCATAAAGAGGCATGTTGTTTTTTGTCTGCCTATAAACAAGCGTACAAACTATGGACCGTTGGAGAAGAACGTTTAAAAACTTTCCCCTCTAGCTATAAGACTGCTAAAGAACACGCTGAGGCTGGTTTTTTCTATGCAGATGGAAATATCTATTATATAACGAATAAAGATATTACACTACACAGCGTAAGAGTAGAGACTTTCCAACAAAGGGTCGGGTCGCATACACCCTTACGCATAGCTGCCAAGGCCAGAGCTGCGACGCGA